CACTTTTTAAAGTTCATTACTTTTTTAAACTGCAAAACAATTTGCATGAGATTTAAGTCATATGCTTGTAGTAGTTTTCAAACCCTTTCTTTAAGGGAAAGAACATTTCCCTTAAGAGAAGAACAGTTCCCTAGTTCCTTGGTATTCTGTGTGTGATTCACAGACTGGTAGGATCAGCATTGTTCCACCTCAAATCTATAGCATCAGAAGCTCTGGGGACATTAACAATCCCTCCAGATCATTGTTAGGCTACAATTTGAGAGTCATGGATTTACATTTGTGAGAGTCCTTTGGGGCATCCACTGCAGTTTTTATTTATTCCAAATTATTTCCTTTTCTAGACTGTTAATGCTAAACCCAGTAACATAAATCACAATGTTAAAAAAAAAAACTAGTCATAGCCCTTAGTTTTCTTCCTTTAAAACTGCTACTTCTTATTGTTGTATACTAGTACACAGAGGAAACACTAATCTATCTGACCAGGCTTTATGCAAAAGCAACCTATTCTTTCTAGGCGGAAATAAAATCTTATTCCTCCCTGCAGATATGGTATCTGACACACAACATGAGTGTGTTGAATTTTTGCCAAACCATTTATAATCAATTCTAAATCCTTTAGTTTTCATGCTTCTCTAAAAACTTTGAAAAATGAGGTTCTTAGCCATATGGTCTTTTTATAATTATATTGTTTAATGTGATAATCACTAGCCACATATAACTATTGTGTCCTTGAATTGTGGCTACTCCAAAATGAAATGTGCTCTATGATCACAACATAGGTTGTGAAGACTTAATAATATATATAATAGTGATTGTAATAATATATAACATCTCTATTTTTATACTAAGTACATGCTGCAGTGATGACGTTTAGGATATATTGTGTTAAATAAAATGTATTCGAACTAATCTCACCTATTTCCATTTTTTTGTAATGGCTATTAAGAAATTTTAAATTACATACGTGACTTTCATTATATTTCTGTTGGACTGCACTGTTCAATAATACTTCTTACACTTTGGTCAAAAAAGTTCACCTAAACTTTAATTCATCTAATACATGTCTGATCTATGCAAATATACCAGCTTCTTAGAGACTGTCCTTTTTTGGGTTGCCTGGTCTTCTCTGAGGATTTTGGTCATTCACTTACTGGAATTTTTCCTCTCCCATCCTCAATAGGGTTATTTTTTCCATTTGAAACACGAGCAAAATTATTGGAGTCCCTTAAGGTAGTTAACTTTAAGATAACAGAAACTTCCCAGATCAATCTGTCCTTAGAGCACAGCCTGGGTGGGAGAGTTAGCCACCTTCTCTGTTCTTCCTTGCACCTCCCATCTCCAAAAGTCTGCAAGTATGGCGCTAAAGAGTAAAGAAAGGGTATGGTAAAATCTGAGCAAAATCTTGAAGTGCTGGACTAGAAGGTTTTCACTTTAGTGGTCTCCTTTGGCTCTCAGCTCCTCCCTCAGTACCATTTCTTCCTACTCACCTCTCTAGAGCCCGACACACTGGTATAATAAATTTTAATGGAACTCGTTGTTTCGACCATGAGGCTACTTTGCAGAAGTAACACCAAGTCAAATACTTCACCGCTTCTTCACTCAGCTGAGCTTCCCAAATTCTAAACACCTAGCTCTACTGTTTCCATGGAGGTTACTAAGGGCCGGTGCCCCTGCGCCCAGGATTGGCTGGGAAACGAGTGTCCCTGTGGCGCAGGCAAGCACCCATTGTGAAGAACGGTGGTGCCTGGTGACAAGAAGGGTGAAGATTCCACCCATGAGGGGGTGGAGGTGGGGGTGGGGGTGGGACTGGGGGTGAAGAAGAGGCAGTGGTAAGGGGGTGGGGGAATCTTGATTCCCAGGGGTGATAAGGACTAGGTAACTCCTCTTGTCTTTCTACATCTCCTGGGCCCAGTGGCCAAGGAGCTGGAAGAGCAAGTGGACGCTATAGTTCTGGTACCCATTTTCCCTCCATGCTTTGGGAAGGGAGGCAAGCGCAAAGTTTTGTGCAGCCAACTTCAGCTATGATGAAGGACTGAGACACTTGAGGGATAAAATGGCCAAAATATAATGTGATGTGTGAAGAAAAAAATAAATAAAATTTATGTTGCTTGCGTTTGTAGGGATAGAGCAAATGGTACCAGTGGGATTTAGCCACCATGGCAACCTTTGCTACCTTTTCTCTCTTACCACCGTGGGTTCTGTTTTTCTCTCTTCAGTCCCCCCGCCACCATCCCTCTTGGGGACATGCTTTGCAAGTTGTCCTTTCCCTTTGGTAGTCAACTTTTTAGTTTGTGCTGCAGTCCTGGCCTTCTACCATTCTTTCCCCTGATATATAAAAAGATGACCTCTTGCTTAAATGCCTGCTTCCTCTTCAACACATTTGTAGCTCATTTCTCCAACATTTATTTTCTAGTTAATCTTTTTCAATAGTGGAAGATAGTAATAATACTTGTAGGGTTTGGGTGAGGTGTTGTCAAAAGTAGGTAGGTAAAGGAAATTGAGAGTGAAAGGGGAAAGAACCTCAGCTCTAGCTTCAGAGTGAGGCAAAGTTGTATTTTATGGCTGTCCCCTTAATGACTACTGGTTTTGGTCAAATTAACTCTTTCTTGAGTGTCAGTATCTGTATTATTAAAGTGAGAATTATGACACCTACTTAACGTCATCATTGTGAGGATTAAATGAATTGAATATGTAAAAGTGTTTGGCACATGGTCTGACATGTGGTGGGTATTTCAGAAAATGATAATAATTACTACTAATGATAAGTGCCAGACTCAGCATATTGCTTGAGAACACATCAGTGAATAAGATAAAACATTTATCTTCAATGAATTTAGAGAATGATAGCTGATAAGATGAGTTAAATACAATATGGAGAAAACTAAACCACACTAGGTGGGTCAAGGCAGGTATGTGTGAATAACTGAGAGCTAAACTGAAACCTGAAGGATGTATAATATGCTGGGAAATTACTAGATTAAAGAATTTTAGGCAGAATGACAGTCATGGAACAACATGGCAATTGGATCTTTGAGAGCAAGTGGAAGAATGAAAAGATGGAAGTTGAGGAGGTAATCAAGGCAAATCAACAGAGCCTGGTTTTCCTGTGAAGATAAAGCACACAATTTGCCTAAATGCATGTTTCTCTTTAAAGCATTTAATGAGTTTTATCTATTTTCAATAATCCATGGGTGATCAGAAGTCTTTGAAGATTTTGCAGGTTTGTGGTGAAAGGTAGATCAACTTACCCTGGCCAGTGAATTAGAAGGAGCAAGATTGAAAACAGATATACCAATCCAAAACTGAAAAGTCATGACAGTAGTGAAAAGGCAGACATTTTAAGGACAGGACAATGGTGCAACTTAGATCAGCAGAATATAGGAATGAGGAAGGGAAAATAAATAGAATATACCAATGAAGGTGTCTAATTTAGGAGCAATTTGAGACCTCTATCTTCTTTTAATATTTTTTGTGATAACATTGGTAGAAAATCTCATTTTCTTTCTGCTGTGGGATTGTGACATATTTCCTCACTTCAGTGTGAACAATTCCCTTGGCTCTATTCATTAATTTTTTCTTATAAGATAACTGACAATCTAAAAGAATTTCATTGGTACAACATATAAAATGAGAAATAACCTACAGTGTAGGATATTTGTGATAATTATTTAAAATGGGAAAATGCTATAAAAAGCTATATTAATAATTGCAGCCAAAAATATAAAATACTTAAAATTTTTTATGTTTTCCAGTTTTCTTTGGCAATTTGTATTTCAGTTTAAAATCATTCTGAAAAAATGGATGAGATATTTGAAGGGATGATGAAACAGTCTAGAGGCAATAGTAAAGTCTTTTCTTGTCCTTTTATGTGTGTGAATTATTCATTCATTCAGTCATTCAAATGATATATGAATACATTCTCATTGTATAAGAATTCAATCCCTGTAGAAATGTAGGAAGTAAAAAGTAAAATTGTCCCTTTACTTACATTCTGCCTTCCTCCACCAAAGAAACTACTATCAAAAGTTTGATTTGTACACTTTCCACCAGCACGATTCCATATATTAAGGTTACTTAAAAGGAGGAGAAAGTCAGTTCAGCAAGTATGTTAAACATAGAGACTTTTATACTAGGCTATTTGAGTTAAATCTCAGACTACCATTTATAAGTTGCCTGAAATTGGGCACGTTATCTAACTTCTCTGTGCCTCAGTTTTTTCATAGGTAAGAAAATACCTGTTTCATGGAGATGTTATGAAGATTAAATTAGCATGTGGGAAGTATTTAGAATAGTGTTTGGCACACAGCATACACAATTCACGATGGAATTGTAGTGCATATACTTTACTGTGACTTGCATTTTATACACCTAACCAGGAAATACAGTGTAGTGATTAAGAGCATGGGCTCTGAATCCAATTGCCTGGTGCTAATCCTAGATCCATTGTTTACTAGTTTTGTGACTTTCAACAGTATATAACCTTTCTGTCTACCTTGCTTCCTCTGTACAGTGGGGATAATTATGTCTGCTTTAAATTAAGTAGGATATGTACAACATTTAGAATGACTGTCACCAACTATTCAGCACATACTTCGTATCATTATATCATTAAAAAACTCAATTTAGTATTTCATGTTACAGATACATTGTAGTTTATTTAACTATTCTTTTATTACACTCATTTAGGTTATTCTAAATTATTCATTTTCACAAAACATGCTCCACAATATGTTTTCTTCTACTTAAACATTAAAATAACATTATCTCTAACTTCTCCTACATTAAGGAAGCTATTGCTGCTAACAGTTTCTCACTTTCATTGTCATTTGCAGCTTGAATAAACACTTTCAAGATCCTCTTTTGGTAGGTGATCATAACCATACCATACATGTGATCAACCCACATCATTTTCCTATTAGTTTGTTTCAGTCCTAGGATGTGAATGGAAAGCAGAACCATCTTAAGTGGTAAAAGCTAACTTTCTGAGGTATAAACAGAAGCTGAGAAACAAACGACACAAAAAGTACTTTTCCTGTGTCTGGACTGTTGAATTTCAGAAGACCAAATCTTTAGGTATCCAGAAATTTAGAAAACGTAAGTCTAAATTCTTACATATTTTGTCTCATGTTATTTTATTTTCTTCCAAAACTCTTTTAAACATAAATATAAGTAGATTTTTCTGGAAGTACTTATAATAGACATTACTGACCTATAAGAGGAAATTTGTGTCTCTTTCTTTCACATCTCATAGAGTTTATTTTTAGTTAATTATTTAATTTTGAGACAAGGTCTTCCTATACAACCCAGGCTTGCTTCACATTTGTGATTACCCTGTCTCAGCCTCCCAAGTGCTGGGATTACAAGTGCATGATACCGGCTTGGCTTTTCTTATACAGTTGGTAGTGAACGTTGAAAAGCTTAAAAATTGTACCAAAGAACCATGCAAAAGACTGAAATAAGTAAGGTTAAAGTCCAAAAGAAGATATAGTAAGAAGAAAGAAAGAAAGAAAGAAAGAAAGAGGAAAAATAGGTAAAAATGGTAAAGAATTTGAGAAACCTATTTGTACTTACATTATTGTAAAAACAAATGGCTATATTTATAGTTAAATCAGAAAGTTTAATGAGACCAAACTTTCACTTTAGGTAGACTGTTGGAAGTTAAAGGGTTGGGCACTTTAGTCATCTCTAAATAAATCCTAAGACAGTTAACTATAATTATATGTCTCTATGAGTTTGTACTTTATAAAATACTTGGATAGGCATCATATATATTATCTTCATAATAATCTTGTGAAAGGCATAGAGGAAGTATTATTATTATTATGAGAAAATTGAGATCTAGAAATAAATGTTAAATAGACACTGGTACCAAAGTATCTTTATTACTAGTTTTATTCTCTATCCTTTGAGATAGAGAATCTGAATCACATTTGTTTCATGTAGGAAATAAATCCTGGCTTGACATTTTAAACTGTATTGCCTTAATGAGTTCTTTTATATTATAGGACTATACTATACTTTTCTTTTTTGTTTTAGAAAACTTGTCTAATAAAATGCTTGGAGAAGCTTTTCTAATTGAACTCCTATACAAAGAACAGAAATGTGCAAACTTTTGCAAACCATTAACATGTAAGAAGACCTCAAATGATGAAAAGAAAACTTCAAAAAATAAACTTTTAGATATAGAAGACAATTCACTTCCCCCTCTTAAGGTGGAAAATCAAAAAAAAGTTATAAAAGGAAATTTAACAGAACAAAGTAATGGTGCAACTCAAATTAAATCTATGGATGAGCTATCTGTGGCAAAATGCAAAAGTATAACTGTTCCAGCAAATGTGTCAATTGCATTACCCATTCCAAAGAGAGAACATGATGAAAGACAGTTGGATTTATATCAATCCTGGTCATGTACAAGTATTTGCCAGAATTATCCTGACTTACAGATTGGAGGTGACCACGTGGGCAACATGTATGATTCAGGCTGCTTTGTGGAACACACACATGATGATGTTTTTAATGGTCCTCTTTTACTTTCAGTGGATATACCATTGGGTCGTTCTCCTATCATTGAGCCTTTAGAGAAAACATCCAACTCAAAATTATTGAATGAGGATGAAATTCGAGAAAAAAGTATCTTGCTACATAAGCAGCCCCTTTCTAATTCTATGCTTAATAGTTATATGGAAAAAAAGGTAGATGAACTCTACAAACAATTTTTGGAAGAAAATCTCACCAGATGCCGCTCTATAACCAATCTAATGGCTTCCAATCTGCTGATGAGTAATGTAAATCAGATTAGTCTTCAAATATCTCAAGAACAGAACATAGAGGCATCAAAAGCTCGGGAAGCTCTCCTAAACTCTTTAGCACTATGTAATCTTCGTAACTTTTCCTGTGGAAATAGTTCTGAATTTAGCACTCCTAATTTACAAATATCAAACCAGACAAGTAGGGAACTTGTATCACATCTATAGTGCTATAGGTTGGTGGGACTGACTGACTTAAGAGACTGCAGTAACAACATTCTTCTCTGGCTTATTATGTCACTTTAAGTCTCTTTTGTGGTATAGTTATTACAGTTTTTGAGAAATGATTGGACTCATGGTTGTCTGAGTTCTTGTAGAAGATAACTATAATGACTAAAATCTATAAACAAAATATTGTCTTACTATTTTGACATCTTTAATAGTTTGCTGCAGTTTGTATGTTCTGTTTGTGCATATGTATCTAATTGCCCTTGGCACCCCAAGTAGAGTACCTCACTGTCAATCAATTTTATTTTTCAAGAGAGTGAGAAGAGGAGTACATGATTGCTCCAAGCTACTGAAAAGACCATAGAAGCTATATTAGAAAAGGTCATTTATTTTTCTATAAAATATTTAGAGACGTATGAGTAGTGGTTAATATTCTTATTTCTGACATACAGGATCTTTTACACTGACAACCAGAATTGCCTAGGAGAAATTTACATATACATATGGTATATTATATGTAATTTAAATATGAATATATGTATATATATCTGCGTATATGTATATATGTGTTTATATATATTTATGTGTATATACATGTATATATGGGGTATGAGAGCCTACAGAATAAAATAGGACTTAGCTGATATTTGAATGGAGGAAAGCTTAAGGAAAAATGGAGAATATCCCAGTGTCATTGGAATTAAAATTTTATACTTTGAATTTTCCTGGCACAAGTGTCAGCTTTTTTACATCACTAAGTTATGCCTGTTTTTTTAACAATGAGAGGAAGGACAGCATACAGTTAAGCGATCAAAGAGTGTGGAGAACCACCATCTAGTAACAAAGAAACTGTCTTAGCAACTTTTTACATTACTTAGCATGATTCTGGCTTAGAATAGAAATTTTGGAACCTAAAGTGTATTAACAAAATAAACCTTCTAGAATTATTTTATTTATTTCAGACTTGGAAACAAGATTGCACACTTAAGAGCTCACATTTCTCCTAGAAATAATAAAATGGTTGTCATGTACTTTCGCTTATAAAATGAAATGGTTTGAATGTATGTTATACAATTTGAAAATTTACATTATATATTATGCATTAGCAATCTCATATTCCTCTCCAATTATTACCTTGGTATTTATTAAGTTTTATAGAATGAATCACCTCATTGCCTTTGTATCTTGTTCTTTTTGACCACATGTTCCTTGTTTTTTTTTAGTAGCTTTAATTTTTTTACAATCTATTAGTAATTATTCCTGATAAATCTTCTGTTTTTGTTTTCATCACTCCTTTCCTCATCATCTTCTCACATAATTTCTCCAATTTCCATAATTCAAACACTTGATTCTGAAAATAAAATGGATAAAAGTTTTGAAGAAACTGTCTTAGTGTTAGGAAGATACCAAAAACAGTTATGTGTATATTTCCTTCTAATTTGTTAACTTGGTAATTTTTAGTATGAGTAATCAACATGAAAAGATTGATGTTAAAGTTTATAATTTCTAAAGTGAATTAAACATTGGAAAACGCTCCTGGTGTGAATAAATTTTCTGAGGTACAGTAATATATGTTAACACTTTATTTATGATGCAGATATATTTATAGATAGCTTAAGACTGCATAGTACTATATAAAAAACCATAGTATTTAGCCAGTGTTGAATTTAACAATGCATTTAAGTATACTCTAAGAGTTAACAATTTTCCTTCTTATCTGTTTATGTCCTCTGTCATGAAAATGCTATGTGCTAATATTCATGACTAAAATAGCCTAAAACTTAATGTAGTAATTAAATAACAAAAGATGGTGAATTTGGTGTTTCATTTCTGACCTTATACCAGCTGACTTCAAAATTTGAATGAAACATACAAATGAGGGTGCAATTAAGCATAGTTTGAATTTAAGTAGTCATTTTCCATTGTATTATTCACTATGGCCATTATATATATGACTATACATCTCCCTTTCAAAACATTTTCGAAATATATGGAATAATGAATTTCTTTCTGTCTCAAAGGTGAAAGTATTAGTTTTGTGCTTCTATGAAAACTGAAAATGTCAGCAATTCAGCAGATGAGAAGGATTATTATGTTTCTTAGCAGGAATAAGTTTAGAAGGTCAAGAATGATGCACAATATATTACTGCTATAGGATATATAGGCTGTTTAATTGATATTCTGTCTTTGGATTTTGTGTAAATATTATAGAGCCTAGATAGGGTTTGGCTTCATCTCAGGTAGTGTTTTGTCAGGAGACCCCCCGAAACATTAAAACTTATACAAGGGATAGAATCTATTCCTGGTTGCTAGAATTTTAAGGCTTGATCTGCCTCATGGGTTAGTTCGTGTCCCTGAGGTTCTTAAGACTGGAGCTTACACTAAAATGATAAAAATTCAATGTTGTATACGTACACACAACCACCCCCACACATCATGCTTATATACATATATACATATATGTATAGATATATATATATACATATATATGGTCAAATACCACACATTCATTTTTCTTTTAAGAGCTAAATTTAGTTAATCTAGCTAATCTAGCATTACTATATAATGTTTGTTTGGATGAAATGTATAGGGCTGGTTTGATGAGATAAAGTGTGGTGGAATAAACTGGAATAATTGTGCAGTTAATTGTACAGTTGCTTTCACTCATTACTGGAAGGAAAGAAATGAGTGAGTTAAATCAAAAGTGATTAAATGTTCTGTGAACAGTTATTAGCACGTAAATTAGCCAATTGGTTGTATGTGTGTGAAAACCATGAAAAATGAAGTAATTATTTGAGGTTTATAAAAGAATGCTAATCAAAAAAGTACTCATAATATTAAAATAAGGTAATTGCCCTTTAAAAATTGGGATAATTTGGAACTTTTGATCCTCAATCATGTTACTGTGTGTTTTTTCCTGAAAGCCTACTAGAAATTTGAAAAAATGGCCTTTTATTTTGCAGTGCTGAGGATGGAACCCAGGACCTCTTACATGCTAGGCAAGCTCTCTACCATTTGAGCTACAGCTATAGTCTCATTATTATGTCTTGGTTTAGTATATGTAAATGCACATTATCACTTATTACAATTTTATAAAATATCCTCCAAATAATTATACTGAATAACATGCTTATAAACTTATGAGAACCAAATCAGGGCATATTAACTTCAATTTAAAAAGTACCAAATCATTGTTATGAGCAACATACTCTGTGAGCTGTTCTGCTAATTCTATTTAAAGATGAGAAATTTGTAGCTTACAGGATTGCAATATAGTTCTGGTTTTTACTTCCTCAAGTGAATTGAGGTAGTCTATCATGAGAAAATTTGTCAAAGTCCTTTTTTTTTTAATCTGAGAGTTACTGAGGCTCATAGGAAGGCTATTTCCTGAAAATTATTTCTCTCTATAATTGCAAACTGGACCTATTTCTGATGAATAGAATTTAAGTAGAATCAAAAAAAGTTAAGAAACAGCTCAGAATCCCAGAGACCTGTGTGGTTCTTCGCCTTTACTTTATAGATTTAACTCTACTTTAGAGAATCCATATAATAATATAACCCATATATAGGAAATGACACTTAAGTGTTCTAATGAAATGGGACCAGCTTGAGTCTGGAGAACTTCAAAACTAGAATGAAATCTTAGAGCTTTCTGTTTTCCTGAGACACAATTTCAGGACACTCCAGGTACTAGGCAAAACTTCCTGGTTCTTCATTTATTATAGTATTTTTTGAGCACTATGATAGGTGATAAGTATAAATGATCAGCAAAATTGGTGCAAGTCCTACTTTTCAATGAATTTACAGCCTAGTTAATATAGAATCAGACAGCAACACTAAATCATCACAATTCATCTTTATGGCCATGAATGGTATAAGCATGCAACTCTAGCTAATCTATGTTACTAGTTCTGCCTGCTTGGCTTGTTCATAATCTGATCAATCTTGTATCCAGGACTCTTATTTTGTTGATGCCCATCAGTGTGGCTCTAGTGATTATTAAATATGTTGGGATATTTCTGTATCAGCTGGCAGTATGAAGCTGCTGTTCTCAGCCCTCCAAGTCCTCCAACCACAACTATACTGGCCACTCTATCCCCTTCCTCTAGACCCTTATCTTCTCATTATCTAGCAACTAAACTTTGTTTCTACATTTTCTTACAATTGCTAAGTAAATGAAGACTTATTCTTAAACCTCAGGAGCTTCCTCACTTTTACTCATTTCCCTTAATTCTCTCCTGTATTCTTTTTAATCTTTGTTGCTGTGTGTTTCTCTAAGGTCACTCACTTCTTGATATACTATACAGATGCAGGCTGCTTTATAGAATTATTGCTTTGCATTTGTTGACCAAATTGAGTGACCAAGACTAAATATTTTGGGAACATTACATCTTGTGTGTTAGATATTGATTATCCCAAACATTCACTTTGCATTGTTCTTGTTTTGTGTGTAATCTCAGACTTAAAAGATGCTGATACTGTATTGTGCTTCATAGTGAAACAGTTAGACTTTAAACTTAACTACAAAAACAGTCCATGCCCAGAGAGATCTATTGTCTATGTGAAGTTTCCTAAATTTCTACCATCGAGATTTGTCCTTATAACTGAAGATTTTATTACTATTAAATGTCTGTATACTTAACAGATAACATGCTCTTATTAAGTGTTGTCACTCAGTGATAAAATTTGTTGAAACTATTTTAAGAATGGGGGAGGGAGATAAAGGAGAATGATGGGGGGATGAATTCAATTATGATATATTGTAAGAAATTTTGTAAATGTCACAATGTACCCCAGCACAACAATAATAGAATAGTAAAAATAAATAAATAAAAATAGTTATGAGTTTGACTATTATATAGTAGGTACACTAATACGAGTTTTACTCACATTACTATATTTAATTATTTTACTTGTTTTAGCTAGGAGAAAATTAAAGTTCAGAGAAGTTAAAAAATATCTACCCAAGATTATATAACTAGTCTAGTAATTGACTAGTT